AAACACAGACCTTGCTCCAGTAGGAATAAGAACTAGTTTATTCCACACCAGTTAAACTCTTAGTTGTGAGTGACCATGGCGTAGAACACAGATTCGTGTTACCCCAAGTGGTGTGTTCTATTGTGGAAGAGGCAACCCGAACTTTTGAAGTCACTTGTCAAGACAGTCATAGGTCAGTGCATTTACCCAGCCCATTGTTGCTGGTCTCAATAGGCAGAACAGCAGATGAAGGAGCTCTTCTATGGGTTGACTCTATGCTACAGCATTCCTAGATGGGGGCATGGTTTGCTCAGCTACATTCCAAATGCTTTACTTACTGCTCAAAACAATGTGAGGTCAGACATGGAGCTACTTTTCCGGAAAACTTCCTCCTCCAGAGAACTTCCTTTATAGTAGGTAGAGGGGAAAAAATCTCTTAGTAACTATTTGTGCACTTTGAGCTGTCCATCGTCCAGAAGACATGAACAGTGTGAACCTGGGAGCATGTTCCCTCCCTCAGATAAGAAGAGGAGGAAATCGAATCTTCAAAACAGATGTCTGTTCTTCTGAGGAAAAGCCCATTTGATCTGAGGAGAAAACTACTAGGAAGAAGAAATCTGCGGAAAACATGCCAGAGTGAAGCTGGTACTTCTTTGTTGGTAATTGCCAAAAGGGGGCGGTCCTTATCTCTGTATGCCAGCTCTGCTCAGTTTCCTTCTCTCTCTCTCTCTCTCTCTCTCTCTCTCTCTCTCTCTCTCTNTCTCTCTCTCTCTCTCTCTCTCTCTCTCTCTCTCTCTCTCTCTCTCTCTCTCTCTCTCTCTCTCTCTCTCTCTCTCTGCCATAGACATCATTAGGTCATTAGAATAACACTCTCAGTTCCAAAAATGTGAGAAAATTCTCTCGCACGAGAACTTTTTACAAACCTCGAGTTGCTTCGTTTTTGGTTTCACTTGTGGTTATGCATTTTCAGGAAAAAAAAATGATCACCGGAAATCCAGACGTAAGAGATAGCAGTTGTCTACTGAACAGAGTTGGTTAATGAGGACAGAATGAGGAGCACACACTGGGGCTTTCCACATCAGGGAGCAGGAAACCAGGGCTATGAGGCTGAAAAATGGAGTCTGGAAAGCAGGGAGGTACTGGGAGTGAGTGTATCAGAAAGAAAGCTGTGTGCACACGTATGTGTGATATTATATATAGTATGTGCTGCCGTTAAACAGTGCATCGTGTGTAATACATGTGCTTATATATACGGCCACTCTCAGTGTTGGTCTAGGACACTGATCCCTATCTAATGTATTCCTTATTGAGTATTGATTTCCGTGATTGATCTTCAGTTCCAAGGGGTCTCATTGTAGAGATATTCAGGAGATTGTGATAGACAGCAAAGGCTCTCAGCGCGTCAACTGTCTGTTCTTTTCCATGAGCTCTTTCCCTCCTTGAGGTGTTGGTTGGATGGTAGAAGTGTCCATCTCTGCTTTCTCTCTCTTATCCACTCTCCTAGAAAGAAAACCCTAACGCTGGCTTGTGGCCATGAACAAAAAAATACGATTTCACTGAAAATGAAATCTAAAAAAAGAAACTGGCGTGCCATCCAAATGAGCAGAGATAATATTAGCTATTAAGACTCAGTGGAAAAGAGCTATGTTGATTAAATAAAATAATGATATGGAAGTAACTATATTGTCAAGGGATCTGCAGACTCAATGGAATCCAAACCAAAATTTAAATAATGTTTCTCCCAGAAGTTTTACTTGGAAAACACGTGGACCTATGAATAAAAGCAGTGCTGTATTGGTAATGTCACCATACCTGATTTCAGATTACAGCATGTGTCTAAGAGAGTGTTACTGCGGGATTACTACCCCTACCACAGGAGCCTCCTGCAGCAGATGGCAATGAACGCAGAAACCAACAAGTGGTCACGGAGCAGAAAATACAGGGCTGACTTCCTGGCCCTGAGCATCATTGCAGAAGAGGGAGCAGAAGGATTGTAAGATCCAGAGGCTGTGCATGACTACAGCAAAGCAGTGCTCTTGGACCAGCACGGGAGCTGCACAGATGAACCGAGAGTGGCTGAGACTGAATGAACAAGACCAAGCCAGACAACATCCCAGCTTGGAAAACACAGGAAATCCCACTTGTAGCTGAGCAACTATGCCAACTGGTGGCTGCTGAGAGAGAGATTTAGTTGTCCTCAGGGTTGGGGCACCAGACAGAGGCTACCTAAGCTAAACTCCAGGAGAAGGTCCTGTGTGCATGCACAGCTAGAAGGACTAAGAAGGAGAATTAGGAAAAGGGAGAGGAAGAGGAGGAGTAGATTAGGAGACAAACCCATGAAATTGAGAGAGGATATTGGTATTTTAAAGTATAATTTTTATGATGAAGAATATAAGATGAAAAACATTGGAAAAATAAAAAAGAGAATAAACAGTCTATAGTGTTTTATACAGCAAATTCAAATTAAATACAGAATAATTTAATTACATATGATGATTCCCTACAGTAAAGACAATATAAACCCAACAGATTTAGCTTAAATAAATAATATTATGTGAATAGTAAAATGAATAAAAACCTATATATGCAGACATGCCCAAATTGATGAAGGAATAAATTTCTTTACATATAGTCTTTAAAACTTTTTGAAAACATGTAAAGAATAAAAAAGACAAACCAGATTCATTTCACAACAATTTTTAGAACAAAGATAATAAAGTGTTACTGACTCAAAATATATAAATCTGTATAAAATTATAATAGTAAGTTAAATCACATAAATAAATTTGAATGGACGAAAAACAGATATCTTAGAGCTAGGCACACTATTACTCATTGCAGCTGAAGCACCCAGGCAGGTGGAGTCAGTTCCTGCCAAAATGTCTGAGATTTTTTTTGAGATGGCAGAATCTGCCCAGTGAGGTACAGGGTCCTAGTCCAGGGGAGTCCTCTTCACTTTGGCTCAGGACTCACTCCTCCTCACTCAATCTTGACAGCAACTTGGCTGAGGAAGACAGGGCTCTCCAGACTTCTGCTCTCACCACCTCCCAGGCACAGGGACTGTGTTTCTTCTCTCTCAGGTAAGCAGAGATCCTGTGGAAGTATTTCCTCACAGCAACCAGGGAGTCTTCCTGGCTCAGGGGAGGTTCTTGTACCCCTACCTCGTGCATAAGACAGGCCTGCAGTTCCTTGAGCTGCTGGTGGAGGCCAGTGCAGAATGTATCTAGGAGGGTTGTCTCCCAAGCAACAGATGAGTTCTCTGAGTTGAATAGGATGAAGACCTTCTGGGTCAGCACCTGCAGGGCAGGGATGGCTTGAGCCTTCTGGATCTGCTGGACATCCACGTTCTTCAGAGGGAATGCAAAGTCCTTTCTGTCCTTGAGGCAGGAGAGAGGGGAGAGTCTCCTCATTTGTTTCAGGATTGTCAAGATGTCCTTGTTCCTGAGGTGATGTTTCTGAGGCAGGTTACACCCTAGAGAGTAGGTTGACCAGTAGCTCATCACCACCAGAGCCATCAGGAAAGCCCAGGGTCTGGCCATTGTGGATGTTGCAGATGCTGCTGGTCCTGAACCTTCTCCTCTAGGTTCTCTGAAGATCATCATTTGTGCATCTGTCTTAAGTAGGGCAAACACTAGTTTCCACATTCTGAATGCCCTCCCCTTCTCCACAATTCTCTTTTCGCTTTTCTTCATTCGTTCTCAGCTGTGTCTGGGCATTTATCTCAACCATTTTTATTTTCGTTACTGCTTCCTCTTTCATTGCTCTCCTAAACAAATCTCTATCAGAGGTTTTCTTGCCCTGAGTAAAATTGTCATTAACTATTAACCACACATATTCATTCAACTTTTGATATTTACACACAAAATTCAATGATAAATTTCTTCTAATACTTGTCATAAAAAGATTTTGAAATTCAGTTTGTAATTAAATTTTCTGTTGTTATTTATATCAAATACATACTTTTCAATTATAATTTAAGGTATGATGCAAATTCGTGGTTTCTAAATTTATCATATTAATGTAATGGGACACTAAGTTTTTCCAATGTTTTAGAGAAAAAAAATATTTTTTCAAATTGCCCTTATTAACTTTAATACTGATTAATATGTATGTTTGATTTATTCATTACTGTATATTGGCTATTTATTCAATGATTGCCATGCCGTCATGAGTTTCAATATGTGAAGGTTTGCTGTCCAAGTTTGATGAGCTGAATTTGATTCCAGGAACCCGTGGTTAAAGAAGAGATCTGAGCCCTGTAGTTTGTCCTCTGCCCACCACGTTCATGATGTGGCCATCTTGAGGCTGCTCACACACACACTCACACACACTCAAACACACACATATATGTACACACTCTCACACATACATACACACAAACATGCATACTCCACACCTAACACACACACACTCAGCATACTTGCATATAGACACACATTGCATCACACAAAAAAGCACATTCACATTCACATAAGCACACACACATATACACACACACTCCCCCCACATAAGTATACATCCCCCCACAAAAGTGCACTCACATGCACATTTACACATTCTCACATGTACATGCCCCCCCACTCAAACACACATACATTTCCACACATATGTACACACATGTGCACACACTCACACGCTGGTGAACAAACATCTACACTTACATACATGCTCTCTCTCTCTCACACACACACACACACACATACACACACCTATAAACAATGCTCATGCACACACACACCCAGTCATACACAAGAGTAATAAGAAGTAAATACCTCAAAACTAAGATTCCTGTGAGTTTTTTTTTTCTTGAGTCGAAGTGGGAAGCGCCACTTCTAAGCAAGACTTTGGAGGGGAAGGCACACCTTTTATCTGGATATTTGAGGTGGGACCACTCACCTTTAACCCAGATCCTTTGAGAAGGGAAGACCCACCTATATACTGAGGCACACCTTCTGCTGGAATCCCATAGAGGACATGAAAGAAGAAAGCTTTTGAACTTTGCCTGCTTGCTCTCACCTTGATTGCAAGCCTATTCCTTCACTGTAATTAGAGCCTACTTTTTCTGGACCCCAGCATGTTAGGAAGCCCACATAAGACGTCCAGCCTCATGGGGTGAATAAATCCATAAAGGTAAGGATCTCAAGTGTGACAAATGAAAGTTTTTGTTTTGAGATGTTATTACTCTTATTACTCCTCTGTATTATTGGGAGTGTGTGTGTGTGAGTATTGTGAATAGATGTGTGTATGTATGTGTGTGACAGAGAGCATGTCTGTGAGTGTACCCACAGGTGTGTGTGCACCACTGTGTGAGTGTGTGTGTGAATTTATGTTTGTGTTTGAGTGTGTGGTTTTGTGTTTACATGTGTGAAGTTGTAAATGTGTAGGTGAGTACATTTTTGAGGAGGTAAATGTGTGCTTATGTGAGTGTGATTTATGTAATGGTGTGAGGGTTTTGTATGGATGGATGCAGTGTGTGTGTGTGTGTGTGTGTGTATGTGTGTGTAGACACAAGTTCTTACCATGTGTGAATGTGCTCATTGGAGTCCGACTTAGGAGAGTTTGTTTCTCTCTTTCAACCCTGGACTCAGCGTATCAAGCTTGAACAGCAAGGCTTTGCACCTGGATACCTCATGATGGCATGACAATTACTGGAAGAATAGCGAAGAAACACTAATGATGCAATGAACATCTTATGTAAATCAATATTAGAGTTAATGAAGGCATTTGAAGTGTACCATTACATCGATACTTTTAATTTAGAAATAATTCGCATCACACCTTACATATGATATAAGTATTTATTTAAATAATATAAAGAAAACCCAATGTAAAATCAATTTAAATAACTTTTAAATAAAATTTGGGGAGGAACTTTATCTTTAAATTAGATAAAATAGAGTAAGTTTCAAACAAGGCATGATCATCTGTGGGGTAACCGTTAATGACAAAGCATTGAGAAACAGAAAAGTGCTGGAAACAACAGCTTTCTGAGGGCAGCGGTGAAAGAGGAAACAAAGATGAAAACCAAAATGGTTTAGAAAAAAGTGTCTAGACACAAGCAGAGGATGAGCTCAAGAAAGTGAAAAGACAAGTCGGATGTAGGGGCGGGCATTCAGAAAACGAAAACTAATTTTTCCCTATATAAGTCCTGAAGGAATGATGGTATTCATAGAACCTAGAGGGGAAGGTTGAGAATCACACAGCCAACAGGACCAGCAGCACCTGCAACATCCACAATGGCCAGACCCTGTGGTTTCCTGATGATCCTGGTGCTGATGAGCTACTGGTCAACCTGCTCTCTAGGATGTGACCTGAGTAAGATTGACAACTTCATGAACAAGACTCTCTTGAACCTCCTGGTACCAAAGAAGCAATCCTCCCGTCTTAACTGTTTGAAGGAAAAAAAGGACTTTCAATGTCCTCTGGAGAAGATGGATGCCCAGCAGATCCCAAAGCCTCAACTGATCCAGGTACTGTATGACGTGATCCAGCAGAGCTATAGGCTCTTCACGTCAAAGGAGTCATCTGCTGCATGGGAGACAATCCCCCGAGAGAAATTCCGCAATATCCTCTACAGTCAGCTCAATGCCAAACAGTCCTGTCTGGTGCAGCACGAGGGGGAATACCCTGTGAAGAAATATTTCAAGAATATCACTGTCTATCTCAGAAAGAAGAAACACAGCCCCTGTGCTTGGACGGTGGTCAGAGATGAAGTCTGGAGAGCCTGGTCTCTCTCAGCCAACTTGCTAAAAGGATTCAACAAGGAGGAGGAGTAACTCCTGAGGAGTCTCCTGGGATTGGACACTGGACCTCACTAAGTTCTCCACTAAAAACTCTTGTTCATTTTGGCATGAATTCAATCAACCTGCTTAGGTGTTTCAGCAGAACAGAGACAATTTGGGTCTACATATGAAAGCATTTGTTCCTTCATCCTCTTTGCTGTATCTGTGTATGTATTTACTCATTTTACTATTTATATAATTTAAGTTATTTAAATTCAATCTTAAAATTTTATATTTTCTTTAATGTAGCAAACCATCCTGTGCGACTAAATTATTTTGTTTTCTATTAAATTTTGCTATATGGAACATTTTTAATTTCTTAATTCTGTAATTATCCAATTTTCCCAGTATTTTTAAGAGGATACTTTACACCATACAAATTATACAAATGAACAAAATGTCAAAAAATTGAGCAGGATGCATGTGTGCATGGCATAGTGCTTAGACAAACCCTGCATCTGTCCCTCTACTTCTCTCCAGGATGTAGTATTCTCTGTGTGGACAGTCAGCATGCTGTCCAGAACCTTGTTCCTGTCACATTGTGACTTGGTCCTCTTTGATGTCACATTCACCAGAGTAATCCTCCCTCTGAACTCCCTGACCTCTGGGACCTTTCATCCACTCTCAACTTCTGTGAGTTTGGCAGTTTGGCGTTCTAAATATGAGTGAGATCATGTGCAGTGATATAAAATAGATCACAGAAAAATGATCAGCCTGCCTGAATACCACAGCAAACATACCAAGAAGAAGTCAGTAAACCAACTCCATTCATAATAGTCTCAAAAATATACCTGAATAAATCCCACCATGGAAGTGAAATGCCTCTGAAATTAATCGTCCCTCTCCATTTCATGGGTTTTTCTCCTCTTTCTCCTCCTCCTCCTTTTCATCCTTCTACTCTGTCTTAGTGCTTCTAGGTTTGCACAGGGGCATCTCCTGGAACCTTAGAGGCCCCACCCCTGAGGACAATGAATCTCTCTCTCAGCAGCCACCAGTTGCCATAGTTGCTCATCTACAAGTGGAATTTCCTGTGTTTTCCAAGCTGGGATGCGGTCTGGCTTGGTCTTGTTCATTCAGTCTCAGCCACTCTCAGTTCATCTGTGCAGCTCCCGTGCTGGTCCAAGAGCACTGCTTTGCTGCAGTCATGCACGGTTTCTGGATCTTGCAATCCTTCTGCTCCCTCTTCTGCAATGATGCTCAGGGCCAGGAAGTCAGCCCTGTATTTTCTGCTCCGTGACCACTTGTTGGTTTCTGCGTTCATTGCCATCTGCTGCAGGAGGCTCCTGTGGTAGGGGTAGTAATCCCACAGTAACACTCTCTTAGACACATGCTGTAATCTGAAATCAGGTGTGGCCACATTACCAATACAGCACTGCTTTTGTTCTTTGGTGTCTTCATGGGAGAAAAAAAATTGGTAATTTCTGGGAGAAATAAAATTTCTATTTTTATTTGGATTGTGTGGTGGTTTAGATAGGAATAGCCCCATAGACTCATGTGTTTGAATGAGGAGTGGCCGTATTAGGAGGTGCAGCCTTGTTGGAGTAGGCATGGCCTTCTTGTTGGAAGTGTGTCACTGTGGGCTGGACTTTGAGGTCTTATATGCTAAGGCTAGGTCTAGTGTGGTCGACCCCGTCTGCGGCCTCTGGAACAACGTGTAGAACTCTTGCTCATTCCCTAGTAGCTTGTCTGCCTGCATGCTGCCATGTCTCCCACCAGGAGGATGATGGACTACACCTCTGAAACGTTAAGCCACCCCCAGTTAAATGTTTTCCTTTATCAGAGTTGGTGTGGTCATGTTGTCTCTTCACAGCAATAGAAACCCCAACTAAGACAGACTACTTTGCACATGAAGATCCCTTGGACATATAGAAACTTTCCTAACAACATTATTGTATTTAAAAACATAGATCTTTCCCACTGAAATTAGTAGCTAATGTTGCTGCTACTCCTGCCCTACTTGGACGATTTGCCAGCTCCATTATTCAGCTTCATTTCCAAAGACATCATATTTTTTGGTTCATTGCCACAAAACAACATCAGCATCTTCTTTCTAGGAGAGTAGAAAAGAGAAAGAAAGCAGATACGGAGACTTCTACCATCAAATGAACATCTTAAGGACAGAAGAGTTAATGGAAAAGTATAGACAGTTGAAGCACTGAAAGCCTCTGCTGTCTCTTAAAACAGTATAAACATCTCTATAATGAGACACATTGGAACTGAAGATCAATCACGGAGACCAATACTCAATAAGGAATTGACGGCTTACAAATACTTTATATAGGGATCAGTGTCCTAGACCAACACTGAGAGTGGCAGTACATATGAACCTATGCATTACACATGATGCACTGTTTAACAGCAGCACATACTATATATAATATTACACACAGCTTTCTTTCTGATATATTCCCAGTACCTCCCTCCTTTCCAGACTCCATTATTCAGCCTCATAGTCCTGGTTTCCTGCTTCCTGATATGGAAAGCCCTAGTGTGTGCTCCTCATTCTGTCCTCATTCGCCACCTCTGCTCACTGCACAACTGATTTCTATTATGTCTCTAATTCTGGCTATTAATTTTTGGAAATGCATAACCACCAGTTGAAAACAAAAAAAGAGAGAGAGACTTTTCAAGGTTTGTAAAAAGCTCTCATGTGAGAGAATTTGGAACTGAGAGAGAGTTCTTCTAATGACCTAATGCTGGCTTTGGCAAAGAAAAGGAAGAAGGAAGGGAGGGAAAGAGAGAGAGAGAGAGAGAGAGAGAGAGAGAGAGAGAGAGAGAGAGAGAGAGAGAGAGAGAGAGAGAGAGAGAGAGAGAGAGAGAGAGAGAGAGAGAGAGAGAGAGAGAGAGAGAGCAGAATCTTCATAGCTGGCAAACTTTAGAGAGGAAGGGAACCACCTGTTCCCCATGACCTGCAAGGAAAAGTCAGAGTATTACTGGCCTGCTTTCTGCAGAATTCTGTTTCCTGGCAGATTTTTTCTCCACAGCTGAAACAGGCTTTTCTACAGAAGAACTAGCTTCAGTTTGGAAGACTCGATTTCACTCACTTTTCATAAGAGAGAGGGAACATCTTCCCTGGTCCATACATGTCATGTCTTCGGGACAATGGACAGATCAATGTCACAAACAGTTACTAAGAATTTTTTCCCTTTAGCCTTCTGTAGAGGAAGTTCTCTAGAAAAGGAGGGGTCTGTGTGTATTCCCCCTAGAAGCTATCTACAACCACCTCAGTGTCTGATCTCACATCTTTTTGAGCAGTAGGTAAAGCATTTGGGATGCATTGTGATACTGAGCAAACCATGCCCCCAGCTAGGAATTCTGTAGCATAGTTTCTGAACCTGCTGAAGAGCT